AGAAGGGACTGCCTGCTTGCAGGCAGACCACCCAAAGAGCAATGGGCCTGGATGCAGCAATTTTGGTGCTGTCCAGCGGCAGGAGATTTCATCTGCCCTTACAGAGAGGGGTTCCTCTGCTCACCCATAGCACAAGACCAGGATTTGTGCTGAGCATCGGGAGTAGCTCAGTCTGACAGTCCATGGGCTGGGGGAGCTGAACCACGATTGCCAGGCATGGAAATGTGGGTTTCTCTCATTGCTCGCATCAGATCTTCCTAGAAAATAAACACTTCTTGCTGCCTGCCTGAACAGTTAGAGACTTGCATCAGTTGTACATCTAGCTGTTGGCTGCAGGGCTTCTTCCACACTGGCCACATTGCCCAGTACTCCACCCAGCACTGACCGTTGAGTAGAAGCCACAGAGAAGAAGGCACCCCGCTCCAGGCCAGAGAGAACCCAAGCACAACCTAGGACAGCAAACGCCCTCAATCCCACAGGCCCCAGCAGACAAGAGCACTGTAGGCAAAGCTGGAAAGGACACTGCTGCTGTGGTCACATCCAGCTGTGCCAATGCCACATCTGGACAGGAAAGGGAACGGGGGCCACCACTCAGATGGCAGTGCCTAAACCAGCTCACAATTTTCACTGTCACACACCTACCAACTGGTTCAAAACTCTCCTCCTACCCCTATCTGCCGTCTGGATCTTGATCCAGGCTATAAAGCCCATGCAGGCCCTGATCCCAGATCTCAGCTGAGTCAAGAAGTCTGTGAACCTCAGGGGCCAGGTGTCCGCATGGAGCAGTAACCAAGCAAGCATATAAGCGCTGGCACAGCCGCTGCCCAGCATGAGCCTCAGGCCATACCCCATGAGGCGGGTTGAAAAGGAAGCTGTCAGGAGAGCAGGCCTCAAATTGTGACCTACTTTGTGGGGTTTGAATTGTGCTTACGTTGTGGTTCTTGGGCAAATCTGAAAGGGCATTTCTATGACTGCTTATAAAGACATCCCAGCCAGCCATAAAGGGCACGGTGCTGCAGTAGAAAGTTGAGTGCTTTACAGAGACAACTGCAAGCTGCCAGAGGGTTTGCGAAGAGGTAGGCAAAACAGGGGATCTCTCTCCTCCTCCTGCATCACCTCTTAGCTGCCAACAGCCCCTCCAGCCCCTGGGCAACCCCACTGTGGAGGGAGGGCACGGGTGCACGTGTCTGTCCCCAGCAGGCTTGCAGATCCAACAATATCAGAGGAAGCGTTAATTTCGCCATGGGACTCCCTGTGGGCCCTTGCATGTCAAAGCCTGCCTCCAGGGGTCTGGGAAGCCCAGTTTTGGTACCAGTCAGCAGCACTTGCCTCCAATAGGAATAGCCAGAAGCTTCTGGCACAGGCCCTGCTACAAAAATCTCATCAAACATCAGCACATGGGACTGAGCAACTTGTGGCCACAGCTTGCACAGACAGCAGCAGAGTAGAGGGGCAAGGGAAACCAGGTATCTCCAGGCACCCATTGGGCAAGGTACTGCCAGCCTCAGCAAGCCTTCTGCACCCCAGGCTGGATAGCTGGATTTGTTCTGAGGGGAAAAGGCTCCTTGTCATGCCCCCGCATGACCATGGCAAGCTCCTGCCATCCACACAGGACCGTGCTGTTCTGTGTTAAATTGCAGTCCGAGTTCGGCACACTGGTGTGAGCCAGCCAATAGTCTTTTCCTACTTCCCTTTGTAGATATTCAGTTTATCCTGATTCCTCTTCAAAACAAGTTGACAGGAAAAGCCTGGGAACACAGCGCAAGCATCATCTATGCTTCTGCGTGACTTCAGAGCATGCTTGTGGCTCCCCCCCCATGGCCACAGCCTGGCTAGTCCTCTGCAACAGGTGAGAGCACAATGTCACTGTGCAGCCAGCTCGAAAGTACCAACTGCTGTCCCAGCACAGGAGGGAACAACCATCTCCGCTTCCACACGATGAGGAGTTGAATGACCTGTGCAATACAAAGGAGGACAGAGCACCTGATGGAGCTGTGCTGCTGCCTGCAGCCACCTCCAGGCTTTGGCAGGGAAGCCCAGGATCCATGTCTGCATGAGGAATCA